GATTATTGACTTTACAAGAAAAATAGAAGCCTGTGGCACAGCCTAAGCTTTTATCATTGATGGCTTTCCATTAAGTGTTCATTACTTTTACTTTTTTACTTTAAGTAGTTTAAAAATCAGTACTTTTATACTTTTACTTGAGTAAAAAACTTGAGTTGATACTTCTACTTCCAAAAAAGTGTTTTTAAACACTAGTATTTATACTTCTACTTAAGTAATAAATGTGAATACTTTTGACACTGACTGTAAACACCATCTTAAATCGAAATCTAAGAGAGCAGTAAAGTTCCTCTGTTCTGTTGCAGGATGACAGTTWTTCCGCTGATGAGGAGAAAACCAGAAAACTTGTTGCAACGCTGAAGAAACTCCGAGCTTTCCACAAGTAAGACGGACCTTTGAAACARGCCGCTGTTTGTAAAGACAGGGTTTGGTCTTCACGCCTGTGTCTCCTCATGCTGTGGCAGCTGTCACGACCTGGGCCGGTGGAGTGTGTTTGAGCTGCTGTCTCCTGTCCTGACTGAGGCCAGCAGCCGGGGAGCAGCGCCGCCTGAGGTACCGGTCCTGCTCGCCCAGGAGCCACGCTTACGTTTCCCTTTTTTACGTTCTCGCTTTGCTCCCATGTTGGTTGCATCCCTGCAGGTGCTGGAGGAGGTGCTGCGGTGCTCGTCTTTCATCCTGCTCTGGTCTCTCAGCACGAGCGGCGAAACTCTAACCTGCCGGGTGAGTTTGAACCGGCTGTTTCTGTACGGCTTCAGAGAAGTGACGTGTTTTTTTTAAAAAAGGCAGCGTGTTTTGTTGTGTACAGGAAAAGGCCGTGTCCCAGAGGCTCCAGCTGCGTCTTTTCTGTGAGAGAAGTCACCACTACCTGTCGCACTGCGAGCTCAGTGTGAGGCTTCAGGTACCAGAGGCAGGACATTTGATTTTCATCATCGTTTTTATTTTTTTGTCTCTAAATTCTTTTTATTTCACGTTAGGCGTTTCTGGGAGTGTGTGACGTCCTGACGGCTCATTCGTACCAAGTGCAGGTGTGGGAGCCCACCAGCTTCGGCCCACTGCTGTACACACACAGTCCCAAACTGCAGAGGGCGCTGTTGGCCTTCGTGTGCGCTCATGTCTTCATGGGCCCGGACTCTGACGGTCAGAGTCGAGGTCAGAGCTCGGGCTGTCTTTATCTTTTTTTTTTTTTTTTATTTTTACAGAAATCAGATCTTAAAGAGACAGAGTTGCGAAAAAAAATTAATCATTTCAAACTGTTTTCTGGGTGCTCAAAGGTGACCCACAGCTGTWGCCAATCTGTGAGCTAATCCGGTAATCCGTGAGCAGAGTTTTGCACATTGTTCTGTGAAGACAAGAAATGTGCAAAACAGACGTATTTACAGATTTAGGATTGTTAGCTGGAAGAATCAGCAACATTTTAGATACAATCAAATGTTAGGAGGACTTCTTTTACAGCATATTTATTTGTTTCAGCAGTGTTAGTTTACACCTACTGTACCTCAAAAGAGAAAAACAAGTAAGAGGTAGTGTGTCTGTAACTTTCTGCCTTGAATGCCCAAGTTTTCTGTTACTGATCAAAGTAAGTGTTGATCATGACTTTCACACTAAATGTTAGTTCAATACTTGTTAAATTGATGGATCTGTTACAATTATTGTATTTAAGGTGGCTTATGGGATCAATCTTGTGCCAGCAGGAACTGAATTTGAATTTCTCAGATTCAATCTATGTGTGCATWATTTGAAACTGAATGCATTGGTTTGAAAATAAATTTTACTAAACTGAATTTAAAGTTTTGAATTTGAAGTAATTTGCTTTGAAACTGTATTTTGTTTTATTAAAAATTCAGTTTGACTACTTTCAATTTCAGTTCAAAAATTCAGATTGTTGTGTCACATCCTGGTCCTTGAGAAAGCCAGGCAGAGTAATCAAACACAGATCCACAGATTTACGTTTCACATTGGTGAAGTTTCCCTTCTGGATGTAACAGAGTTGATGCAATCCACCATAAAAGTGACAAAAACAACTATATGTAGAAAATGTTACATTTACATCACATCATGGATCAGTCAGCAGCATTATCAGATCAATATGTGATCCATGATGTGATGTAAATGTAACATTTTCTACATATAGTTAAAATTAATCACTGCAATAAAATAACTGTTTTTG